CAGGATAAGCTAAAGGTTTACTTGACCGATCATTGTTTCCCAGCAGAGGTTACCCAACTCGTCGGAGCTTATGCCCTGCAGCTTCTGCGGAAGCGGTATGACGGACGTTCGTGGCATGTGAGACAGATTGCGTTGGAATGTACTGTGATGAACTGTGGTCGGGAATGTAGAGTCTTCGGTGTCGTTCACGTCTGTGCCATTGACGAAGAACGCGTGTACTTTGGCGACTCCGAGAGTACCGTACTCCGGATGGATGGTGGTGAAGTTGAACGACGGCAGTGTTGTACTCTTCATGACGCCGGTCTTGGCGGTTCGGTACGACTTGATCCGCGCTTCGATCAGACGCTGCTTCATGGAGCCCTTGGCAAATGGGACGAAGCGGTTGCCGAAGAACTGCTTGGGCAGCAGCTGGTAGAGCGGCAGGCGTGACGCGATCGCCGCGCCGCTCAGAGTGAAGTTCGTCAGGTTGGTGGCCAGGTCTTCGCCGCTGGACATCGTCGACGCCTTGTTCAGGCTGTTGATCAGGTCTCGCATGAACCGCAAAGACATCGGGTCGTTCGAGCCTCTCGGCAGAAGCTGCAGCGCCTCGGTTTCGGTAAGGTTCGAGATCAGATCCACTGGCAGATCCTGGATGTTTTCCTGTAACTCGATGTAGTACTGCATTTTCGTGAAGATGGCAAAGATGAGAGTGTAGAAGTTGAGAAAGTACAAAACGAGGATCCTGCAAATCAGCAAACGATTGCGATTGCCCTCGACCGCCATGATGGCGCTTACCGTCCCAGGTGCAACCTGAGCGACGTGCGCGGGTGAAACCTCTCCAGTCCTTTGCTGACCAGCTCGAAAAAGTTTGGAAACACCAGTGTAATGAACGACACCACGATGGGCACCTGCAACGATCGCTGCTACCTCAACGCTGCGAAATGCTACTAACCTCGTTGCGTCGGAAAGCGTCCGCGTTGACGTCGTTTTCGATCGTCTTCGAACGCTCAACGACAGCGTAGATCGCGAACGTGCTGCCGGCCATCATACCGAGAATTATTATATTGGCACATATGCGCATTGCGAACCTTACCCATCTATAACCGAACGCGAATGGCGGATACGAGTGAAATGATACAAAACAATTACCGGAACTTCTCAACTTGCTTCTCCTTATATTCCATGATTGATTCCTGAAAAATTCGCAAACGTACAATACCAGACACCAATTCGGTATTCAGTATTTATTAATGCTTAATGACTGATGAGTATCGAACAGAAGTAGATAAAAATACCAGTCAGCAACGGAGCCATTACCAGTTCTAAATGGAGGAGGCAGACAGCGCGATGCCATTACATCACGTCTGAGAAGGTTCCATGAAGACGACACTGGTAGTGGGAACTCACAGTCAAAAAATTAAAAGATATCCTAACTCAGAGGAAAAGAGCAGGAACGAGTGAAAGAGGCCGAAAGTTATCGACTGGACATAGTTTGATACCTGCTTGTGAAACCCCAGGATTATGGCACACTAAACATTTACGAGTGAAAATTGTACTGTTAAAGTGTCGACTACACGCGCTGAGGCCGGTGTTGATGCTCCCGCAGAACCCATCCTGGCTCACAGAATCATTGAATAGAGTCCATCAACGGAAGAGCGGCAATCACCTGATAGAAGTTGATAAAGGCTCAAGCTTTGATTTTCTATGCACCCAGTTCAGAGGGAGAATATGTGTCTTTTCTGGAGGAGGAGAAAGATGGTCTTTACGAAGTGCAGATGTCCCTCATTCATGGGCGAAATTAAACGCGCATGTTGGAGCAGACACTGAAAAATGGAAAGGCGTAATTCGGAAAGAATGGCTCAAGTGACCTCAACAATAATGCCATGAAGTTGCTGTGGTTCTATGCAAATAACGGACAGTCTCTTATGAACATCGAACCTTTTATCAGT